CCGCCGCCGGGCCGGCAGGCCCGCTCCTCCGGCCCAGCGCCCCGTCGAGGCGGGAAGGGAGGGAACTCCCTGAAACGGCCGAGGGGCGCGAAACGGACCCTGACGTCCTGAAAAACGTCGGGTAGTTCGGCCTTCACCAAAACGTCGCGGTTTAGTCTCAAGCATTCACGAAGACTCGGACGATATACAAGTCCCAACAGCCCAATAAAATACAACCGAGCCTTCACGAAAGCGCTTTATGGCAGTCAACATATTTTATTCTTTTATTGCTGACGTTTTGATCGCCATTTTTATTTACTCTGTACCTTCCAGCGATGCCCGGTAGTTTCAAGCAGGAGGGGACCTCCTGGCGCAAGGCACTGTACACACGCACACGAAACCCCTGCTGCGGGGAGCTCACAGACCACGGTAAGAGCTGCTTGTAAAGCAAAGACAAAAGTCAAACTCGTTACAGTTAACACTTGAGGTTTGGAGGGGCTTCACCCCTCTGCCCACTCTGTACCTCGTGGGTACAGAGAACAGGCTGAGGGAGAGTGACGGTAACGTTGCTGTGACAGGTTAAGATCTTTGCTCTTTCTGCAGCGGATGCAAGCTTGGCCATAGCCTTCAACGGGTTCAGGAACCGGGTTTGTGTCTCAGATTTATGAAACAAGAACAGCCAGAGCACAACGAGAAACACAGGAAGAAAACACCATCCTGGAAATACCACTGCGGGTGGTTTAAACTCCCGTGCTGTGCACACCCAGACCTTTCCAGGTGAAGCAAAGACCCCATGCGGGTGCTGGAGGCACCTGCCTCAGCCCTGAGGGAACCTAGCCACGCTGGCACAGCACCCCCACCTCGCGAGGGCCAGGGCCGAGCAGCCTGGGGACAGCACCGTGCTAACAGGACTGTCGCACACCTGAGCCACAGCGAGTACTGCAGCGCTGCACTCTCACCACGCAGACTTGTCACCCCCCCACATCCTTCTTACAGCCCTGCAACGTGCCACTTTTCTGGTGGGACAGATGCTCCATGAAGAGGTCAAAGCAAAACCCACAACCCAGGAAGGGGATGATGCTTTTATACGTCACTTCTTGGATTTGTTGTTTGGTGGGTTGGTTTGGTTTGTTTTAAACACGTGCTGCTTGCTGCACTGCCTGCAACACCCAGGACACCGCTGGCTCCTCCACAGTTGTCCCCCAGTGTCACCAGACCTCTTGGAGCCCCTTCACTGCACTTCACTCTTTAACCTAGCACAGCACAGGCCAGCATGGATCTTCCCTCTGTCTGGCTCTCATAAGATGGACACTATGCTCAGAGGTAGCTTGTAAATCTTATAAATATTGATCATACAAATACAGCAGTAACTATGTCATTAGGTGGGCTTCAGGAACCTTTTGCTAGGATGACACACATTGTAATGCCAGGAAAGCCTTCCTTTTAGGATGCTGATACCCTAATGTTGGCATATGTTAAAAGGACTGCCAGCTTTCAGAAGCTTCTATATTATCAATTGCAAACATTCAGAAATCACAAGTTCAGCCCCAAAATAAACATGATTTGTTAAAAAGTAATGTAGGACGTCTGTCAAATTTGTCCTTCGGAAATGGAGAACTTTGTACATACTCAGGTTATGTTTTCTCAACCTCTGTCTGCAACCAGAGAAATTTCTTTGGGGGAGCGACAACTTGAGAGATTAAATTCTGATATTATCACATCTTGCTTTTAAGAGCGGTAAGGGAAACATCAAGGGTCTCAGGAGCTGATAACACTACTGGTTTAAGTTCTTCCATATTCAGTTTTTCTCCTGACAACTCCAGTCCAGAATTCCTAAACTTACATAAGAATCCCATCTCTCAAAAGAAAAATGTGAAGTTTTAGCCCTTTGCAAGTAGATTTAAAAATAACACAAATTCTTAAGGGAACAATCAGGTTTTTTCTTGCCCCAGTAATGAGACCTTAATAGTATGAGGCTTCTACTTTTTTTCCAATTTCCCTCCCCCCACCCCCAAGTCTCTGGCCCCATTTGGAGGGCAGGAAACAATTAGGGACAGGTACACACTAGCCAGAGAGCCAGGCTCTTGTCAGGAATTTGTGACACTGGAAAAAGCAGAGAGCAAAAATATTGCCACACTGGAGAAACCCAAACAACCAGAAGTTAGAAGACACTAAAGGCCTGTGAGTCTGCTATACTGAAGTGTTACATTAACAGTTTAATTTTAATCAATATTTGTTAAGTTTCTCCAGTCCAGCAATAAGTTCAAACAGTTGTTTTGCAAAGGTTTTGTTTATTCATTTATTTATTTTGACATAAATCAAATATATAGCCAAGTGTTTCACTGATAAAGCTTAGTGGAATATTTAATATACACATTTTTTCGAGCCTTAGCATTTGGATTTTTTTAATTTAGCTTTTGCTCACCTAAAGCTGCTGCCAGTCAGACTCAGCAGACAGAACAGAGCAACCACCGGGCACTACAGGAACAAAAAGTGCAGCCTAGAGAGAACCAGATGAGCAAGTATTTCAGTACATCACGGATTTCTGCACCTAAACAGTTACTTACTCCCTAGTCATTTTCCCTTAACATATTGTCCGCAACGCCAAAGCCCTTGGTCTCTCCTGCTCCCTGCATTGCACTTATTACTTTTTAGGGACTTTACTGTTTGCAGTAAATGCCTTAGGTTTGTCATGGTGTGTGCTAAGGTGGGGGTAAAGGCAATGTTCAATAGCTTATAAGGAGATCTTTAATGGGGTCTGATCCAATAACCACCACCAAGCTGCCAGCTGTGGCAGGAGACTGGAGCACAGGAAAAGTTTTCAGCAGGGGGACGAGGACTGCCTGTTATTTATCAGAGAAAGGAGAAGGGAAGAGTTCCTGTTCCCCCTTCTGATCCAAGAAGATCGCCGATCCTGAAACCAGCACCCTCTAGAGCGCACAAAGTAGTCTCCTCACACACATACACCTCACTACCTGGGCTAACCATCCCTTCTGTCCTGGCCTCCCAACAGGCTGCTAGAACAACAAGGAGGCAGCCTTCAGGCCTCAACCAACCACACATCCTGTGAATATGCATTTGTGCTTTATAATTATATTTTTAGACACTGCATGCTTCAATGCATTGTACTGTATTTGAAGCATTCAACACAACATTGTAAAGGTAATTGACTAAACCTTTGGAAATTCACCTTTAAAGAGAGATTTTAGGCTCTGGATTTTCATGTGCTTGTACATCCACTGATAAAGCAAACCAGGTGTCTTCACAAATTCATGATTTGCTATTAAAATACCTTGCAAAAGCTCAGACTGATGAGAGTAAAATACTTTAATCATTAACAGCTAACAACATGCGGCCAAACATCGTAATTATAAATATAAGCTTCTCAAAGGCTTATTGAAGAGGCATAAAACATTCTAAAAGAAACAAATTGTGTTAGCCTTCCAGGTCTACAAAAGTACTGTAGCGTTTAACTTGCATGCTTGTCTGCATATACTTTTTCCCCCTCATACAATAATAGCTTCTCAGTTACAGCCACAGAAATCAGAAGTATTAGACCTGAATTCCCACTTCACTTTTAACACTCTCAATTAAAGCATGCTCTCCATAGCTGTTTGTGCTGGAATGTGCAAACTGAATGGCAATCCAGTCTACTTTTAGGAAGTTTACATTGTGCCCTGATAAAAGAGGTAATTACTGCCATACCTCGTAATATTTGAGTGAAAAACCAGGAAATGTCAAGCTTTAAACTTGAAGTTAGTACTACCATTA